GAAGCAATGGAACGCCTACAATTTGAGGAAATACCATGTGTGATTTCACACTATATCAAGACCCAAAGACTCGAGCAGCTCAACGGGCACCACCTCGTAAACCGAGGACTATCCAATCATCATGCAATTTTTGCAACCAAGTTATTTGCTCATTTTATTCATTTTTCAATAAAGAATTCAGAAGTAATTTGTAACTTGGCTTTATTATATGTCTGCAACAACTTTTTTTTTTTCTGCACTTTAAAAGAAGATTGCACCCCCCGAGGGACCAACTGTGCTCTCCAAGGCGGGAGGATAAACTCAACACTCCGAATATCCAGACGTGGATGAGCTTGGCTGCCCTAGTATAACTAAGTGCATGATGGCTTGCGCCGGGATTCCTAGAAGTAGCCACAATGGTCTGTTTCAAGGCTTAGCTAGTTAAAGGATTATGGGTCTACCGGCTTAATCCGCGGGGAACCGGGCCCTAGAAACGGAGGGGGCACATTATGCAGCACACCCAATGGGCGGCTACCCTGGAAACCTAAAGCTGCTACCGAGTGCACTAAGGTAGCCTACGGATTTCCAGAAGACTGCCTACGGCTTGCCCTTCGAGCAGTAGAACCATGCTAGACTTATGCAACCGCACATTCTTGTGAAAGGTTAAACAAGTTAGCGTGCGCACGAGAAGATCTTATCCACTGTCGACATGCTACGTAGTCGATAAGCTTTACCTCTGCCAAACGCAGAACAACCTACACCAAGTCCTAAAGTGTTGTGATACTTGCTACACAACCTACGAAATTGGAAAAAGCCAAGGTTAAATAGCCAAGTGGTTACGCGGATTCGTCTGCTTCTGTAAGTAAGGCATCCAGCTGCCAACCCTATGGTTAACAGCTTGGCAAAAGTTCTACATCAACACCTACGGCTGCATAGGCTATGTGGGCTTGTCTGCTTATAGAAAAGTAGCACGCCTGCCACTGGCCTATAAAGTCAAAAGGTTAGGGTAAAAAAAAAAAAAAAAAGGGCGAGAATGGGAAAAGCAAAAGAAGCAAATTTATTAAATTTATAGAAAAATTGATAAACAACAAGCAAATACCGAAGGAGTTCAAGCAAAAGCAACAAAGGAAAGAGAAGGAAATCCTAAAAGCTACCTAGAAGACTATTCTTCAGTAGTTTGGACATCTCTCAACTGCTCGGTCGTTACACCTTCAGCAGCCTTGGTGTTTTCAGCAGCGGCATCCTCCGAATCTTTACCCTCGACTGCTCCAGCCTGGGTATCAACTCCTCCAACTATTTCACCGATAGAAGACTCAAAGGTAAAATCGAGCAAGTATTCTGGAGAAATAGAGAAGGTATCAAAGTCTTTACCGGAAAACTCAAAGTCAGACGGCCGCCCATAGAGATGATCTACATAGCCCAGCTTGTAGAAATCGGTTTGGTTCTGAATAAGTGAAACCTCGAAACCATCCTTCTCACTCTTCAACTGCTCATTCTCCTCAAGCAGGCAAGCACGAACCCGCTGCAACTCCTCAATTTCCTTCTTCAGATTGTCGTTGGTCTTCAAAACACCTTGAAGTTCCGACACTTGAGGTTCAAGCCTGTCAACAACCTTTTTGAAGTGGATCGCTTGGTTATAAGTAGCAATCAATTCTTCATCCTTTGCATAAGCAGCGGAGCGAAATTCAGATATGGAACGCTCAAGATCTTGAATCTGAGGTATGTAACGCTCGATTTCCTTCTCTGCACTTTCATTCTTTATTTGGATCGCATCAAGCCTAGTTTTCAAATCCATGATCTCCTGGTGAGCGGCCTCAAGCTGCAGAGAAGTAGGGGCAGAAGTATTAGATTCCTTCAAAGCAGCAAGCTCAGATTCTAATTTCTTGATTTTTTCGGCTGAGGAGTAAGCTTCGGCAGCCATAGTTCTTGCCATCTCTTTAGCAGCCTTGGTGTCCTATTGGTCAAGGAACATAGACTCGGCTGCCAGAATTGTTGTTTTCTGCATCATGGCTAGCAGAGCAGACTTCCTATACTCGGGTGTGTGTTTTGCAAAAAGACTCGGACCAACAATCTTTTTGACGCCATCAACAAACTGGGCACATACATCCATGTCTTCAAGAAGATCTGGTTTCAAAAGCGCACAAATCTTAGCAGCCTCCCCAGAAACGGCCTTGGCGGATTCTTCAAGCCTGCCTGAGCGAGCAGCTTCATTCTTATCAGCAGACGAGTTGGTTGCAGCAGCGGAATAAGCAGTTTTTGGCGCCACTTTAGCATACAAGGGCACCTTATCATTCTTCATAGTAGCAAGCCTCTTCAAGGGTAAGCCAGGTTTAGTCCCGGACGGACGCTTCGGCACAAACTTCGGTACCAAAGGCACGGAAGAACTTTTACGCTGAGCAATTTTTTCAGCAATCAAGCTAGCAGCCTTCGAAGCAATAGGCGTTACCGGCACAAATGTAGCAGTTCGTTCTTTCTCGCCCTTAAAGGAAGTCAGGTCAATCACAATCTTGGGAGCAGCCGGAGAATCCCCACGAGCAGTCTTCGTTTTCTTCTCAGCAGGCATCTCTTGAGCAGGCGGGGAATGTTTCTTTTTCCCACCTTCATTGATAGTAGGCTCCATCACAGTGATAGGACGACCCATCGCGTCTGCCTTGATCCGTTTTATTTCTTCTTTTGGGGGCAGTCCATCTTTTTCCCTACGAAGAGGACTAAGCAACCAACGCCACTCACGATACTCGGAAAGGACACCCAGAGCGACATGTACTTTTTTCATGTCTGGAGAAAACCCTAGGAGTTGAGCCAAATTCCAAATTCCAAATCTACAAAAAAAAAAAACGGAAGACAATCAGAAAATTGAAGAATAATTTGGCACTGAAGCAAAGCAGCCGAAAAGACTAAGCAGTCTGCTTACCAGATATGAAGACCGTTGATACACGCAGCTCGGGAGAAGAATCAGATTCCCATTCTCCACTTATCTCCAAAGTCTCTTTGGCCCAATCATGATCTCCTTTGCTCGAATTATCAAAAAGCTTATGACGAATTCGCAGTTGTCCAACTCCATCAATACGACCTATGTCAAAGAAATACCAAAATTCGTTGGTGGTTAGTCCCAAGTCAAAGAATTGGTTCAAATTGTGGAACCCCACCATCACTCGAACCGCATTCGGGGAACATTGGGCAGGCGCACATTTCATGGAGCAAAGCACTTCTTGGAAGAAACGCGACATAGGGAAAGTAAACCCTAACACAAAATAGTAAGGATGGAACTTGATAGCTCTCCGAGTTCCACTGCATGGTTCCCCGCTGCTACCATCCTTAACTCGCCTCACACGCACTCCCGACGGAATGGCATGCCAATACGTTTCAAGAAAATCTCTAAACAAATTGTCGGAGCTAATCTTGAGGTGAGCAGCTTTGAAGTAGCCAATCTTGCTCAAAGACCCGCCTTGACGATACAACGGGGGCACACCATCATTATTCTTGCGGCTCGAGGAAGACATGCTTGAAAATTCTACAAAAGTACAAGGAAGATTTGTTAGAGAGTTAAAAAATAAAAAAAGAAAGAAACAGCTCTCGGTAAAAAAAAATAAAAATAAAAAATAAACAGCTCTCGGCCAAAAAAAAAATAATAATAATAATAATGATGAAGGTCGCAGGACCCAGCAAACCCACATGTGCAGCATCCAACGTCCAAAAAAAAAAAAAACAGGGAGCCCAGCCCGCGCTGGCTCCCTCCATCTTCCTTCTCGGCCCCGTGGCCCTGCATAGCTGACAGGGGGCAGTTGCCCCCACAGTTTTCTCTCTTCTTCACAGTCCAGACACGAAGGCCCAGACTGCAATACCAACCTGCAGTACCCCTTGGTCTACTTTCAAGTCTCCTTGATTTTTTATCAAGCCAATTTCAAGTCCCGAAAACTTCCAAGAAAATCAAGAAGACAAGAAAATTAATTTTTTCTTACCTAGAAGCAGCGAGAAGACAAAGCACGCAACGAGAGACGATCCTTTACATGGGCAAGACGTAGAAGATTGCTAGAGGAGGGGGAATAAATATCCTCTAAGCTCTTTTTCTCTCTTGTAAGGTTGAATAAGTTTCTCTCTAAAAAGTTGATTTAATAATCCACTTAAGGTGGACTTAAATAAGCTTTGAGGAAATTTATTTCCTTTTCCTAGAAGGATTAAATTTCCTATTAAAAAGAGAGAATCAACAACAAAATAGGAAGCAATTCAGAGTTGCCTAAAGCGAGAAAATCTCTACACTTGTTGCACTTTTTCTGCAAGCAGCCCAACAGGTGTGGGGGCATTTGTGGAGCCAAAAATATTCACTAGGCGACACGTGGACTTTTGGACAAAAGAGGACAAAAATACCCTCGAGGCATACCAGGATTCCTACGCGCGAGCAGTGGGCAATCATCTTTCAATCAAGTCAAAAGTGCCCAAAAAAATGTAACAATTAAAAACCTCTTTCATCAATTCCTTTCTATAAGGTATTTCCCAAGACCTAGTATTTTCTATTTCATTATTTAGCTAATCAATTAGCTAAATAATATATACCTACCATATCTCCTAAAAGCATCCTTAATAGGCAATAAAATCACTCAATTAATAGCCCAAAACCGGCCCCACTATTCACATCCTCATCTTTCCCATTTTCCTTATTAAAATAGTCATTCATTTTATAACCATCCATTTATTCTTTTCATATTTAATTAGCCAATAAATTGGCTAATTAAACATGAAATTAAACCCCACAAAAACCTTATGGCCGGTTACCATTAGACAAAATTGGTCAAGGCCTAACTCTATAAATAGGTACCTATTCTCACCAAAAATCCATTCCAATTCTCTTACAAAAAATCACAAATACTCTAAACACTATTTTTCTCTAAAATTCTAACTTTGGCATCGGAGGTTCTTCGGCCAAGCCCCCCCCATTCATCGTGGGCGCGTGAGGCTTTTGGCCTTAACCAAAGGTGCTAGTTGTTTTGTAGGTACAAAATCGTCCAAGATCGAAGAGGAGAAAATTTGCATCCACACTAGTTTTTACTTTTAATCATGCTGGAGTTTTATTAAGGAACCAAGAAAAGGGTTCCGATACACCATACATAACAGATAATTTTACACGAAATCATTATGAAATGACAAGGAATTGCAGCTACAAATCGAAATGTCATCCCTCGCGTATAGCTCGCTCGCTATCTGCTGGTATATAGTCGACACTCGTTACACATTGAACGGAAGAGCTGGGATATTCACCATCTTAGCTTCGAAGGGAAGTACTGCACAACCAACATTGTTCAAGTTAAAAACACTAATTAATATTCCAGGAAAAAAAATGAAGAAAAGTGTGTTGAATCAAATGAAATCTGGTTGAACTTACCTTTTCAATGAGAGAAATATAGTATGGCTTCACCTTCTCAACGTCAACCCGTATCTTGCTCTTGCTGTAAAGGTCGTACTTGCTGCAACGGAAAAACGTAAAAGTATACGAAGTGAACTTAAGCATTTAGACTAAAGAAAAATTAGTAAGAGGTGAAGTATCATATAAACTTACTTGAATACACGGAGCCATTTCAGGTTTTCGACATCCTCTTCGTTCATTAAGTGCTTATACGCTCCCGCCTTATGTAAGGCTGCAATAATATCAAAAAGAAAACATCACAGTTAATTAGTCAGGAAAACAGATTTTTGTTTTAGTAAATTTGTAGTATTTTTCTGCTGCTTAACATACCATAGAATGAGTGGTATCTAATGATAAACAGAGCTGCTGAAGGCAGAGTTGATTTGTTCTCTGTGGCCACCTGAAGATGTCACACCAATTAGATTAAACTTAGTTAATTGTGTTTACAAAAAACGAGATTGTTTGATTAGAGGCTTAGAGTTAATATTTTGAAGTATATCTGAATACATGATGAAATATTTGAAGACATACCAAATACATGTAATCATCGTGCCCCCACGACATCATAACATTTTCGAGTCCACATCCCTCCGAGTAAACTCCATACTTAGTGTTGTAAGTAGGATTATAGTAGTCAGGATTTTCCGCAAAGTACTGCGGCAATAATGTGGATAAAAATTTTGATCAGCAAACAGATAATTGTCATCACGCGAAAAGCGGAAGCAAGTTTACGACAGAAGTACCTTGTGATGAACATTGGATTGATCAAAAGCACAGCCAACTGGGAATGTATCACCTGAAATACAGATCAGGATTAGTAATTAACTATCTTCAAGTATATAACAAATATGGTGCATGAACTTTGTCGCTTACCGACAACTGCCCATTGAGGAAGCTCCCCAAAGCTAGGAAGAAGAAGCACTTTTCCAAGGTCTAAAACACATAAATTAAGGATCAAATTAGCTATTTAATCATTATGCAGCATCCATTTTAATCAATTAATACATAATATTTAAAGATATTAATTAAATTACCATGGATGAGGCCAGTCAAGTGCAGCCAATCTTCATTAGGATAGTCCTTCCTAATGGCTTCAGCTGTTTGCAACAAGTGCTCGATTTGAGGCTCGTCCAAGTCGGGATCGCTCTCGTCGACAACCTCGTTGAGAAGTTCACAGCATTCCCAAATGCTCATCTCCACTCTGTTCAATTTGCTATACTCATTTCTCATTCTCTGCACCTGAATGGTACATTTTTGTAATATATTTGGTATTAGGATATAAAATGGTGTGAGAAATATGTAGTGATGTTAGGTAAAATTGCTTACAAAATCATAAGTCTGATTGATGTGATTGATCTGGTAGAAATTCTCCACACTTGGTTGTCTCTCTCCTTCTGCATCATAATCCCTGGCTTGCAATCATACAAAAATTATCAATAAAAAAGTTGATAATTCAATGGGTGGGGGGGGGGGGGGGGTTGTGAAAGTAACCAACTTCCAATAAAAAAAAATAAAAAAAAACTTTTGGTAGGCCCAAATCTAAGGGAAGGCCAAACAAAGAGGGCTTTGAGTATTTCAGCACGTGGCAAAATCAAAGGGATGACGTTTATTTTCAAGTGGATTGGTGTTGTACAATGGAAAACAAAAATTATAAATTAAACGATGCTACGATCTGTACAAATTGCTAAATGATAAAAATCTACGTCTTTTTCTATCTTTCGTGAAAATATAAACCTCAATTTATATGATAAGGTGTTCTTTTTATTTTTGTGTCTTCCCAATCGTAGGATATGTTTCCAAATTTCCCTGTTTTTCTTCTAAATTCTTTGTAAAAGGCACAGCCTAAAGGGATCATAATCCCAGATATTTTCTTCCCTTTGTCCCTATATGACGATTAATTAATTAACTGGTCATAAATTCATAATACAGTTTATTATAAATTGTCCTTCTAGCTGGTAAGAAGAACAACTTATAAATTTGTATCGTTCCAATTTATTCGGATGCTCCGGAAGGCAACTTATAACCGCAGCTGAGAGCCTGTCAAGGGTCCTATCCATGGTTCATATTGCAGATCACATCAGATATTTATAGATTCAATTCTGCAGGCTTAAAAGTAGTACAAAAATTATGGAAAGAATATAACCTAAATGTTTGTCCAAATGAATTGGCATGTGGCACCACAAATCCAGCATCTAAGACCAATTCCTTTTCATCATTTAACACCTTTCTCTCCCCTGCTTCAATTTCAACTTCAACTCCTATCACTAAAACACAGAAAAATAAAATGACAATAAAATAATATACACGATAAAGGGAAGAATAACTTGGAAGCTCATCAGATTTGCAGAATATTAGAATTAACTAAATACAGATACTCCTCTGTGTCTGTACGTATTCGACTTTCTTATCGATGAATATCGTTCTTTAAAAAAAAAAAAAAAAAACTAAATACAGATATTAATGAAGTGGGAATTAAATAATTTACCAAACTCAGGCTGCTCAATGAGGATAGTCATCCTGAATCGAAACTGAAGCAGGAAATCCAAAGAAAGCAGATGAAAATATTGAACCCAAAAATCTGATAAGAAATTTGGGCAAAGAAATTGAAGTTTTGTGGCATATTTTAGGTCTTAGAAAGTGGTTAGTATTTATAGTTGGCCGGAGAAGTCCTTTCTTGGGAATTCGGAGGTCTCCTGTCCTTCCCTGAAATTCTACAAAAGTTTTGCATCCTTTCCGTTTTTTTTTTTTTTTTTCAGAAAACAGTGTTTCTGTCTGTCAGAGGATAAATATTATTTTAACTCTAAAGTAAAAGCAACAAACATAAACAACGGCTAAGAGATATTTTAAGTGTTTCAGATGCATCAGTTGAAAAGTGTAAATGTAAACTACTTGCGACGTGGTTTCATTCTAGTGCACTAGACGATTTAAAGAGACTCAATTTACCTTTTAAATGCGGTGCATACAATAGTGAATTGTGGAAAAACACACTAATACGTTCCCCTTCTAACTTCTGAGGTACAATTCAAGTACAACCCATTCAGACAGTCTCAATTAGCCGTTCCAACACCCATGCATACAAAATACATTAAAAAAAAAAAAACTCTTTAATATGTGTTACTTCCATGTATAATTTGAGTACAACTGGAATATATATATATATAGGAAATCTTTAAGGAAAGGGATCCCCATTTTTTTATAAAAATGGGGATTAGTTGTGGGGTCCACATTACATTGAACTTTAATGATCCGAACCGTCTATTTTTCAAGTTGCACCTCATAGATCATCCTTACAAAATATTAGTCAAATCGGAAATGTTTAAGACATCTAATTGGGTTCAAAGAAATGAACGAATACTTTGTTATATAAGAAACAATGAAATTTTATCTTGATAATTAAATAGGCAAATGGTTTCGGATTAAATTGAATTTTTGCAAGAATGATCTATGAATCGAGACTTATAAAATAGACGGTTCGGATCGTTGAAGTTCGATGTGAAGTGAGCCCCACACCTAATCCCCATTTTTTTCAAAAAATGGGGATCCCTTTGCATAAAGGGCCTATATATATATATATATATATATATATACTCTCAAATATGTGTTGGTGAGTCTGCTAGACTGTAGCCACGAACAGAATGAAATTTCTCATAGTTTTTCTAGACTCGAAAAAATGAATAATTGTGGTTTGTCATACATTATTTCATTATTTTTCCCTTTTAAGAGAGAAAAAAAAATAATAATATCACATGTGTGTTTTGAGTACAACAAAACGAAAGAGGATCCCAAGGATCTTTTAATCGTGTCCGTTCATCATACATCACGTGCCAGAAATTATTGTAAATTTTTTTATGAGTTCTTTAGATATAGGCCCCTTGAGACTCCTATTTTTCAAACAAAAACCCACCAAATTTTAAACTTTCAAATAAAACCCAAATTTCAAATAGACTACCATGTCGACAAATATATAACCAACTATTACAACACGTTTACAATTTATGCCACAAAATCCTAATTTGGTCACTAAATGTTATTACTCATCCTGCTTTTGATGAGCAATTAAATCCATATGGATATTTTACCTTTCTTGTATCATAAATATTAGTAACATATATAAATTAATCTACCATATTAAAAAAAATAGACATATCTCGTACAAAAAAAAATTGTTTGCATCATGTAATTACCCTACATATAATTTAATTTACCTACTTATAAAATATTAAATTAATTTACTTACTTATAAAATATTATACTAATTTACCTGCATTTAAATTAATTTACCAACTTATAAATTAATTTATCTACTCATAAAATATTATACTAATTTACCTACATTTAAATTAATTTACCTACATTTAAATTAATTTATCTACTCATAAAATATTATACTAATTCACCTCCATTTAAATTAATTTACCTATTCCAAAAAATAAATAAATAGTGATATTGGATAATGTTTGAATGTTGTGGGTTTGTGATTGTAGGCAATTAAACAACTTGAAATCTAATGCACATAAATCATGTAGGTAAATTAGACCATTTTGGAAGTAAAAATTAGACCCTTTAAATTTTGGTTTGATAGAATAGGTAAATTAGACTATTTTGTAGGTAAAAATTGCGTGGAACATATAGCTTTTGATTTGTGCATTAGGGATTGAAGTATATATGCAATGCGGAAGCTGTTTTAGGTTAATTTATTGTTGTGTTGGTAGGTAAATTAACTTGTATATTTAATGCACAAAATCATGACATTAGTATTATTATTTTTCAACCGGCACCTTATAACAATTTGAAAATTAATACATTGAATATACAATGAATGACATAAAATATTTAGTAAAATAAATATAATTAATTAAATAGATAGAACGAGTAACTAATCCAAAAACTCAATCCAAGTATTAATAGGGGTAGTTTAGGCATTCAGAAAACATACAATTTGAAAAGTTAAACTTAATTAAAGAATTTGCTTAATTAAAGATGGGTTTTAGTTAAGGAAAATGGAAAAGGATTCTCTCTTGAGCATATGCTCAGGATCCTGCTGAGCAAGGCACGAGGACCGTAGATGAAAATTCAACGGTTACAATTATTATAACTTTAAAGGGATCCACCTTTTTATAGCCGTTGAATTTTCATCTAACGGTCCTTGTGTCCTGCTCAGCACGATCCTGAGCATATGCTTAGGAGAGAATCCTTCTCCAAGGAAAATATAGTTTCAAGGGTAATGTCAAATTTAAATAATTTTTATTTAAAATTAAATATATACAATATCTACGCAAACTGTATCATACAATATACAATAAACAAACACAACTATAAATCTCCTGAATCCTTAAAAGGAGAATCCGAAGCATATCCTCGTTCAACTCCTCCCTTGCAAAAGATGGTAAACACAAAAGGCTTGTGGGGAACCACCAGGGTGTCAAGAATGAGTCAGCCTTGCATTGGACATCAGTCATGTGTCGACGTACCACCAAATATAGTAGAAATCCTACGGCTGTCATTAGGCGGGTGGCTTTTCGTACTGACGTTTTAGATAGTGGCACGTCGTCGGCCGCAGAATCTCTGACGCAGACAGCACCATGTTGGTGGACGCGTGTCGTGCAACGTGTTTTATAATTAACACGTGTACGGGTGTCAGAGGATATGTGGACTGCTGTCAAAATTCTGGCATAACTAATGAAGGGGTGATTTAAGGACAGTTGAGTTTACAAAGTAATCTTTTACTACCTGGTGAAAATGCGTTGAATTTATATATAATGATGTAAGTTTGAACGTTGATAGTTAATTAAATATCTAATCTAATAAAAATTATTATTTAAAAAGAAAAAAAAAGAGGAATTCATTTTTACTGAGTTGTGACATCTGCACAATTTACTTCTACTAGGCTTTTGAGAGTAGGTGCAAATCTGATGAAACAGCTACCCTTCTTCCTATAATTTTTTCTGGAATTATATCTCCTTACTGGAGATCTCGAAAGTCAATTAATAGTGACTGTTCATAAGTTGGATTTTCACGCAAAAGGAGCTGTCTTGATGTTGAAAATATAAAAAATAAAAACAAATCGACTGTGATCATATGATTTTTTATCAACGATCGTTATAAATTGATCTTCTGAATTCCTAACGACGAGATCCAAAAAGGACCTAAGTCCAATTTTTTGGATATAGGATTATAAAAGTCTTTGACCACCAAAAAAAGAACATGTAAAAGTCACAACACTATTTTACTAAACCACGTCAAGTGTTTCAATAAAATTGTGGTAGAATTCTAAGTTATGTTTACTTTTGATTTTGAAGTCCATATACCAAGTTGATGCAAATATACAAAATAAAAATTAACACTAGGAGAATTAAACGTGATTCATGTGTGAAGCACAATGGCCGTACTTGTTCTATGTCACTTAATTTGTGTGGTTCACTTGTTAAATTTAAAAATTTATAACGTAAATGTGAAATTATGTGATAAAGAAAAATGAAGTTCCAAATATGAAGTTTTCGACTCTCTGCCTTGATCCGAAAGAAAACTATAAAAGTTAGACATATGATTCCGACCATATACAAATGGATCCGCCGTATAAAATTGCTAGTTTTCGTTTGGTGACAAAGGCTTTTCAACTTAAGATAATTTAAAGTTTGAGTCATGAGAAATTCCTTGGTTTTCATGGTCGGCACGCTAACCTTCACCTCACATTCTCAGCAAATATCTTATCTTCTGCATCACTTTTATTGGGCAAGTCACGTTTTATAGGACAAATCTATGGTACTTATCATATGTCCACATCAAGTATTGAGGGAAAAAATAAAAAGAAACAAACATTCACAGCTACTTTCAAGCCGACGGTTGAAACAAAAATTGATGTCACTTTCGACTTTTTAACACATAAATGATTTGAATTCAAGTGTAAGAAGTAAACAAATTATTTTAATTGAACAGACTTTACCTGTATGTGATTATTACCAGTAAAATTGACGATTAATTAAATGAGAGATGAGTTCAACATTTTTTTTTAATTTTTCATACACCTTATATATTGGACATAAGTTTGTGTTTATTATTTTCCTTACCAAAACAAAGTAATTGAGTATTATCTTTGTCGGTTGCAAGCAATATGGTTAACATATTTGTTTGTCCAAGTTCAGTGCTGTAATACATGATTTGCTAATCAAAGGTCAAAAGCAAGCGCACAAGTAAGCATATTACATGGTTCACAAATCTCTGATGATATATCAGTCTTATTTTTCTTGACCATATGGTGGCCACAGTTCAATTTTTCAGTCGTCTTGTCAGGTTGAGAGGTGACTCACAAAGAGTGAAATTTTTTATTTTTGTAAAATGGTAGTGGGAAGAGAGGGAAAGAGGTAAATTTTTATTTTGTAAAATTACGTTACTGCTTTCAATTTTTTTTATCTTTTTATCCTCTTTTGTTTGACAAATAAGATTTTATTAATATATACTTTAGAAGTTTAGATAAGATGATGCTCATTGAAATTAAAAATATTGTTGAATTAACAATTAAAAATATTCACCTAAACGACGTAAACGGGATCGTAAGCCTTGACCTAAGCACTTTGAAAACCTAGATCTACTGAGTTGATACTCCATTAATTAATGAAAGAAGGGATCTTGTATATGCTTATAAGT